TGTGTCTCAGTCTTCAAAGACAGGACGGAGAAAGTAAATTTATTTTTTTTATAATTTCTTTTTTTGTTTGTTTTTGGTTTTGTTTTGTTTTTTTGCGTGTGTGTGTGTGTGTGTGTGTGTGTGTGTGTGTGTGTGTACCGTCAAATCGGATCTTACTGGGACAGGAGGAGATGGTCCCTCCTTCTCCTGCAAAGCAGCTGGTGGATTTGAACTGTGTACCTCTGAGATTGCAGGGCAGCATCTTGCCACTAGTCCACCAGAGTTACCCCCAAAAAATTGATTTTGAAAAGGGGTAACGAGTGGTCTGTATTTCAAGGTGCTTTCCTTGAAGTATAAATAGGCGGATTCACCCTCCCACCCCTCTGCAGGAAACTGGTCACCCAGCAGCAGCTTGGAAAATGTTGGAAAGAGTGAAAAGCTTTAAGGGCAGAACTAGACTTAAGAAATGGCATTTGAAACGTTCAAACTCAGTACAAAGTCTAGAAGAAACAGTAATATAGTCAATAGGCTTTATTTAAAATGAACTCTGGCGACCTAGTGGTAAGAAGCTACGCTGTAAACCCAAACGCATGCAATTCAAATCCACCGCCTACTCCCCGTCAGAAGAATGGGCAATCTCTTCCCATGCAATTAACTGCCTTTTCAAACCCAGTGGAGGGTCAACTATGGGTTGGTCCTCCAGGGTACACAACAACAAGGTGAAGGCAAGGCTTTGATGCATTCTGCAGTGGCCTCATAAAGTCATTTTCAGCAGACAGACCCTCTCCATGGAAGAGGGGTTACACAGCTTGCGAACAGTGAAAACAAGGTGCACAAACTCAGAACTTAAAACACCAGTGATGAACAATAGTCAGACAGAACAGCTGAGAAATGCCGCCAGCAGAACCAGGAGTCAGGCGAGATGCTGGGAATAGGGACTTGTGAATAGAGAGAAAAGATCTTTGCATTTTCCTAAGAAGTCTCAATGTGGATCCTATAGAAATTCTCTGTGACTAGTGCAATAAACCAGGCAGAGAAGCAGAAAGCCCCATACATGTGAGAGGTTGGTTTCAAAACTGGTGAAAACTTTGGCGAGTGGAGCCATGCTGGATTCCAGTGTCCGAGGGATCAGCTTTGGGCTGTTGAAGGAATTGGTGATTCTCTCTCAAGAATCTGAAGTTACACCCCCATAGTGACTATAGAACCAACCTGCACCAGCGGTAAAAGATCCAAGAGGTTAGGATCTTCCAAAGCTGCACTCTTTTCACCCTCTGGGATAGAAATACCATCAATGGGAAAGCTGGGCCAGATGCCCCTCCAATGTCCATTCTCTCTCATACATCACTCAGTGCCTGAAATCCAGACACCACATTGGTGGAAAGCACCACCTCCGACTCTCACAAAGACCTGCAAATACCACAGAGACCATAGTACTGAGTTTCCATGTGTAACCCTGGAAGTAGTGACTTCCCTGTCAAGCATTTCCACCCCCAGGCTCACCTCAGAACGTCAGGCTCTCACTGTGGCGGCCCACACTCTAATTTAGGCCAATATGAAGGACAAAAACGAGAAAGCAACCTCTTAGGGTACCTTGGTTTATTTTAAATAATAACTCAGAGTTCTATAATGTTGCAAATACGTCCTTAAATGTCCTTGTTACTCAGGAAGTAATTTCATCACAACGGTAAAAAAAGAAACCAAATATGAAGGTATGGGCAACATTTTTGAGGAGATATGTGAGCACTGGGAAAAAAAAAGTCGTTATACCCCTCGAGGGTTTAAGGAGACTTTACCACAAAGCATCTGTGAACAGTCCCTGTCAGCAATCTGAACTCCTGAACAGAAATTTCGAATACTTCAGTCAATCCAAATGTGCCTCAAGTGAAAGGATTTTTAAAAAAACTTAAAAAAAATTTTTCAAAATACTTCTGGAAAACTCAGGGACTCATTTCAACACAACAGTTCAACTCTCAAACACAAATCATTTTGGAGAGTTGTGGAAGTGACGAGTTTTTAAAAACCATTCTTTCCTTAGTTCTTTCTAGTCTAGTGCTACATAAACAATTTTAATTTTTTATTTTTTTTTGGTTAACAAATAATCCTTTATTGAAATATTTTCATCTGTAGTTCCTTAGCTAGCTGGGCATTCCACAGCACCACTGTTGATGTCTTCTATGATGTCATGAGGGTGACGGCCATCAACATTGCAGCCCACAGATTGGGCAGTTCCCAGGATCTCTTTAATAGTTCCAGAGAGTTCTCTGGCTAAAGACCGGTGTCGCATCTGCCGGGCAATGCCAACAATCTCATCAAAAGTGATATTTCCACTGTGCTTAATATTTTGCTGCTTCTTTCTGTCTCTGGGTGGTTCCTTTAGGGCTTTGATGATCAGGGCAGAGGCAGAAGGCACCACTTCAATCTGGGCCTGTCTGTTCTGAATGGTCAGTTTCACTGCAATCCTTAGTCCCTTCCAGTCACCGGTGGCCTTGGCAATGTCATCACCAACCTTTTTTGGAGACAGACCCAGGGGGCCAATCTTGGGGGCCAGAGCGGAAGTGGCACCGACTTCCCCACCGGTACACCTCAGGTACACGACTTTAATCTCGCTGGGGGTCGGACTTGGGCGGCATGGCGGAGGCGGCTGGTGTCGGATGAACCCAGATGCGGGACGACCGAAGAAAGTTGCACCGAGGCCTCCTCGAGCCGAAAGCCGAAAGCAACAATTTTAATTTTTTAAAATTTTATTTGTTAAAATTTTTTTGTGTGTACCGTCAAATCGGATCTGACTGTACAGGAGGAAATTGTCCCTCTTTCTCCAGCAGAGCATCTGGTGGATTCAAACCACATACCTCTGGTTTTGTAGTGCAGCTTCTTGCCATATAGACAATTTTAATGCTGCACCTGCGTACGGTTTGGTTTTTCAAATTCTGTGATAAATATTAAGCCCTCGAGTACTCAGAATTCTTCCCAGCAAAGAAGCAAATGTTATATAAACAAAGCCAGGGAACTAACTAATTCAAGCTCATTTCACTTCAGCCCCCAGAATTACTAGCTTTTATTTTGAAAAGCAGAATATAGGGAGAGAATTTCTCAAAATTCTGTTTAAACCCATTTTAGAATAGAAGTAGGAAAAGAAACAGTATTTTGAGAGACAAATAGACATAAAGGGTTTAAGAAGTGGCTTCGGGATGCCCTAGTCCTTCCTGTCCTGAGGTCAGAGTTGAAGGCACACTCGGATAGCTGTTTTCAATGTCTAAGGAGGAGGAAGTGGGCTTTTATAAAAGAGGTGGACAACCGGCAAGAGCCACAAAACCAAGGTCTTCAGCAGTGAGAGGTAAAAGAAAATCAGAGAATCCATCCCACATTCCCAAAGATAGGACTCAGAGGCTCAGCAGTGACAAGGGATAACAAAGACCAGAGAGGCAGAGACTGAAATAGAAACACAAAAAGGGGGGTTGTGTGTGCCAGGGGCAACTCTTCACTATGGGAACCAGCATCTCCTGTCTGAACTCGTGCTTTTTCACAAGAATAGCATCGTGTGTTCTTAGCCATCAGGCTGCTTCTCAGACAAAGGATCATCTTTTCTGTTTCAAATATTCAAAATACTTGTTTACTATGAGTTTTAAAATTTAGTCATTTTAATGCATATGGAGTTTAAATTCGTAATTTTACATATTATCTCAGAAGATGGCTCACTCATTTTATTGGTACAAGAGAACCATAGATGGGCATGTGTTTCTGTTGACTCCCATTATGTCTTGTAACAAAATTGAGTACATAGAATGAAGGCTTTATGCTTTGAAGTCTTGACATTGAACACTAAAGACACTGTTGTTGTTGTTGTTGTTGTTGTGGGCCATCGAGTCACCTGCAACCCATCACAACTTTTGCACAGCAGCTCTGGAACCTGCCCTATCTTGAGCCTGTCTCACTAATTCTGACACACCAATTCCTATGGCCCCAGTTACTGTATCAATCCATCTTATCCAGGGTCTTCCTTTCCTGCGCTGTCCCTCCAACCCTTTCAAGCATGATGCCCTTCTCCAAGGACTGGTTTCTCCTGGCCACGTGCCCAAAGTATGTGAGACAGAGCTTCGAAATCCTAGCCCCTCAATCC